GTTGCTGACTTTGCGGAGGCGTTACAGGCCGAAGCTGAGCAGTTGTCACTGATGAGCGCTTCACCGACTTCTACCACGACGGCATCACTTCAGGACACCAAAAAGAAGGAGCAGATCAAGGCTGCTGCCCTACGGTCTGAAGGGTCTCCTGCTTCCAACGATGATGGGAAGGGGAAGTCAAAATGTCGTTTCTGGGGGAGCACGGCTGGTTGTCGCCGAGGTGAATCTTGTGCTTTTGAGCACTCTTGGGACGGCATCCAACGAAAGGGTCGATGCTGGAATTGTTCTGGTGAAGGGCACATGAAACCTGAATGTCCTCACCTCAAACAGAAAGAATATGGTCAACGTGACTCCTCTGGGTCTCCCACGAAGATCTCCAAGGTGAAAGATCAGAAGGGTGGCAGTCCCAAGAACACAGGTCATGGAAAAGGTGCATCAAAGGGAACTACGACGTCTTCACCAACGACGCCTTTGCCGAGTTCTTCACATGGATCTACGGTGACTTCATCGTCTTCGCATGGTGCTTCTGAGGAGAAGTCCAAGGTGGTGATTGAGGAGGTCAAGCCTGCTGTCCCTGCTGCTCTGGTGTCAGACCTGAGTGGGCTTGTGAAGTCTTTGCAGGGCCTGAAGGCAGTTCACTTGAGATACATCGAGTCCAAGGCCAATGGTGTTTTTCCTGGAGGTGACCAAAAACTGGCGTTGCTTGACGGTGGAGCCACTCATGGGCTACGTCGAGGACAGCCTCATGAACTTGAAGGTGCTGAAGTGGTGACTGTGGAACTTGCTCATGGGAGTACGTCCCTGTTCAGAAAGGCTGGATGTAGCACGTTGTTGGCGAAGGATCGAGGTGGAACCAATCATCCCTGTCCGTCAACTGATTGAGACTGGCTACCAGCTCAAGTGGAGTTCCTCTGAAGTTTCCATTTGGCATCCCACAAAGGGATCTATCAAATGCTGGCGACGTCAAGGTTGTCCAGTCATGGATCGAGATGATGGTCTTGCTCTTTTACAAATGTTGGAGGACGATGAGGCGGCGACCCAAATTGGTCAAGAAGTTCGAACTTGGTGGAAAGAACGATACCCACAGGTTCCTGACGCTGTCATCGGCTTCATGAAGGGCCACTTCACAGACTGGAAAAACTGTCCTCAAGGATTACCTTGGAACCGTCGGAGACGTAGGCAGCTGGAATCGGCCAAAGCCATTGTCCTGCACCTCTTCTCTGGGGATAAGGAATCAAGCAGAAAGTGGTTGGATTTGCAGAAGCTGGGCTACGAGGTGATCACCTTGGATGTGGCCGCAAACAGCGCCGAAAACCTGCACTCGCCAGCCATCTGGAGTTACCTGATGATGTTGGCTCGCAAGGGCTCACTGAGAGTCTTGTTGGGTGGGCCACCATGCAGAACGTTTTCAAGGCTTAGACACAAGCCACCCGGCCCACGACCGGTGAGGGGTAGAGCTGAAAACAGATGGGCTCTCCCTGACCTGAGTGTGTTGGAAGCCGAAAAGGCTCACGGAGATACAGCACTGGTCCTGAAAATGGCGGCCCTCTACGAAACGATGGAGGAGAGTCAACCAGGAGCCAATGGGTTTCTCCTCGAGCACCCTGAAGACCCGTGCGCGTACCTTGGAGAACGGGAGTCCAGGGAAATGCCAAGCGTATGGGAGTGGCCGGAACTCAAGGCCTTTGCGGAGAAGTTCAACATGAAAACAGTCCCCTTTGATCAAAGAAAATGTGGGCACAGCCGACGAAAACCAACCAACCTCCTGACGAACCTGCCAGGTATGGATGAACTACAGGGGTTGCGCTGTGGGAAGAATGAGAAGGGCATTGAGCCGCTTGCTGCAGATCTTCCACAACGTCTCAAACAGACCTCTTCCTGGTCGTCATGGGCTCCGGGGTTGATACAGGCTATTAAGGAGTCAATCAAACAGATGCCTGCGGCTGGCCTCAAACGTTTGTCTTTGGATGAGTGGCGACAGCATGTGAGGCAGAATCATACGCCTTACCGCCGTGATTGTCGTCTCTGCATACAAGAAATGGGTGCTGGAGAACCACATCGACGTCGAGGTCCTCACCACAATGGTGAATCAGCCTATGTGTTGTCGGTTGACATCACTGGTCCTCTTGTGAAAGGATGGGACTATGGAACTGGCCGTCAAGCCAAATATGCACTGCTTGCTACGGTGCCGATTCCTGTCGTGGATGGTCAACTACATGCTGAAGGCGATCAATCTCCTTGTGATGTTCTTCCAGGTCCTGAAGTTCAACGTTCAGAAGAAGTTCAACGTGCTGGTCAAGTTCCACATTGCGGTGGAGGTGACAGCCCTAAAGAATGTCTTCCAGGTTCAGGTGCTCATGGTGAAAAGGTTCATGAAGGCCCTGTCGAACCTGTTCCGTCAAAAAATGATGGATGTGATGATGAAAAAGATGGTGGAAAACCAGGTGATGCTCTTCCAGCTGACCCTCTTGCTCCGCTACCAGAATTGGGGGGAGATGTCCCAGACCCTGAAGAACATGAAGGAGAAGATGGGGGGTTCAGTGAAGATCAGAAAAAACTGGGGGAGAAGCTGAATAAAAAATGGAGAGAGCAGATGGAAGAAGCCACCGCTCCCTTCAAGATTCAGAATGTCACCTTGTTTGAACCTTTGGGCAGCCGCTCTACAGGCGAGTTGCTACCTGCTTTGGACAGAGTTTGGGTGCGCTTTCGTGCTTTGGGCATCCCAATGGTCAGATTGCACTCTGATCGCGCCAAAGAGATGCTGGCGAAACCTGTTCGAGCATGGGCAGGCCGCAGAGGTTTGTACCAGACCTTTACCTCTGGCGATGATGCTCCTGCCAATGGAAGAATCGAAAGTGAAATCTTGCAGTTCAAGCGACGGCTGCGACTGACACTGCAGTCTTCAGCTGCGAAAACGGAGGAATGGCCTTCAGTGGCACGGCACTCTTCTGAGGAGCGCCTTCGAGCTCAACTTCAAAAAGTGGGACTACGGCAGCATGCTATGCTTCCCTACAATGTGCGGGTGTTGGTCAAAACGAAGCTTTGGCACAAGCGCTTCACCCAGAGCATGGCGAGTCCGTACTTCCAGGCCACTTTGAAGGGACCAAGTCCTCTGATGCACCATGGATGGGTGGTCCAAACTGACAAGGGCCTCATCCAACATGCCAGGTCTGTTGTGACCACTGACCCAAATGCCGAGCGTGCGATGCTGGAACTTGTTGGTGACCCAATGCGGCCAGTTCACCGTATGGTTGGAAAACAGCCTGTGGCAGGTGATCAGGTCGAGCCTCCAAAACCGATGGATGAAACCAAAAGAGATGGCCCTGACTCAGTGTCAGCGGAAGGGAGGTTAGGTATTGAAGGTCAGGTTCCAGGCTCCGTGCCCGCGGAAGGAGGGGATGGTGAAGGATCACAATATGAGCCTAGCATCTATGAAGGTGATGAGCATGTGGAGCGCATGGAAGAGGTGGAGAACCCTGACGTGAATGACATTTGGGGGGAGGCCCATGGTCCGGGGGAGCCCTCTGCTCTTCGAGCTCTTCATGGTGATGATGGGGAACCTATGGTGGTTCCGACCAACTTGGTCGGGGGGGAGTCCAGGTGCTTGGCAACCGCACAAACCGCACAAACAACACGAGATGCTGAGGCTGGAGCGACTTTGGAATCTATGTCGTCTTCAAGTTCAACATTGCGGGTGAGCACATCAAGGTCTACTGCTTCAACCTTCAGTACAACTTCAACTTTGGGTCCAAGCTCAACCTTGCCAAGTATGACAAGTTCATCAAGTATGACGTCCAATGGCGGTGCAATCGAACGCTGGCCTCTTGGTGGTTCCGTGGATGAATATGAGAAGATACTCCAACGTGAACATCAGGGATGGACTGCAGCGCTTCGAGAGGAGTCACAACGCCTCCCAATGGATGGGGATGAAGGTGGTCGCCAAGGTCACTTGATGAAGAATCTCAAGGTTCAAGTCGGCGTCTTGGAAGAGGAGTTGGATGTAGTGAACAAAATGGTAGTTGAATGTGAGGAGCGAAAGTGTCTGCTGGCTGCGCTCAACCTCAACGATGTGGAAGACGCCGAGAGCGATCAGTTTGAGATGCCTGTGGAGCCAAAGATCCTCCAGACCCAAACTGTGCCTCTGAATGAAGTTATGGCCAATCTTCCAGAGTGGGTTGATGCACTTCGAGCTGAATACACGAGCTTGACCGAGGGCACCAATGCCATCAAGCCTGTCCACAAGGACACGCTCCGACACCGAACGGATGTAGAGTATGCACCGGGTAAGTTGGTTGCAACTTTGAAACCGGGAAACAAGAAGAAGGCGAGGCTTGTAGTCTGCGGCAACAGGGTGGAGGTCTCGGCTGACAACCAGGTCGACCAGGACGGCTCCTCTGAGTATGCCAACAAGGGCCGCAAGACCTACGACACCTATGCAGGAGGAATTGACGGTGTATGTGTGCGAGCAGTGCTAAGGAAAGCTGGAGAGCGCCGGTGGAACTGTGCATCCATCGATGTGCGCACAGCCTTTTTGCTTGCCCCACGCCGTGGAACTGGAACATTGGTGGTCAAACCGCCAAAAGTGCTGACAGCTTGTGGGCTGATCCCAGCTACAGAAATGTGGGAAGTCAGCAAAGCGTTGTATGGCCTTCAGTCATCACCGCAAGATTGGAGTGTGTTTCGAGATGGCGATCTGAAGACTTGGTCTTGGTCTGACAGGGGAAGAACGTTCGCTCTCAAGGCTACCAAGGAGGCCAATCTCTGGCGCATCGTCGAGCTCTTCAAGTCTGGTGATGGGGAGGTGGAAAAACATGAAACGGTGGGACATATGGTGGTCTATGTTGATGACTTGCTGATCACTGGATCCACTGAGGTGATTGACGCCACGCTCAAGAAGGTGCAGGCACGTTGGAAGTGTAGCGACCCTGAGTGGATGGCACCCGAAGGTCAAAAACCTATGACCTTTTGTGGCTTCGAGATCAAGAAGGGTCCCGATGGTGAAGTTGTGGTCACTCAGAAGTCCTATGCAGAGGAGCTGACGAGGCGGCATGGCATCAAAAAGACAAGGCCTACGCCGATGTCGAGCTCTTTGGTGATTCCTGAGGAGCCGGAGGACTTCACTTGAGCAACTGCGTGAAGCACAGGCTGTGACTGGTGAGCTACTTTGGCTTTCCATTCGGTCCAGGCCTGACTTGAGCTATGTGACAGGGCTTATGGGTCGGATGTCAACCAAGAATCCTGCCTTTGTCTGTCAAGTTGGCCAAGAAGCCATGGAATACATCTATGGAACTCTGGACGTGGGTTTGGTCTATGGACCTCTGGTTCCGAATTTTGGGCCAGAGGATTGCCTTCCTTTTGCAAGGAGTATGACAAGGGTCGAGGTCTATGCTGACGTCTCCTTTGCTCCGCAGTCTTCCAAGAGTGTCCAAGGTGTGATCGGGCTGTATGGGGGTGCTCCAATACAGTGGCTGTCGAACCGGCAGGGGTGTCTGACTTTGTCAACTGCAGAATCAGAGCTTCTCAGCTACATCGAGGCGATGTCAGTTGCCGACGCCATTGGCTGCATCATTTCCATCTTGGAGGAGATCCCGATCGAGTTTGACAAGAATGATGAAGATGATGATGAAGATGAAGGAGTCACACAAGCTCCTGATGAGGACTTCGCAGGTGGAGGTGGAGATCAACTGCAACGAGTGATCTATGGGGATAACCAGGCCGCAGTGTCGGTGTTGAGCTCTCCGGATGGACCTTGGCGTACGCGCCATCTGCGGTTGCGCAGTCATGTCCTCCGCCAGAGGCTTCAGCACAAGCTACACTGGGCTGTGCGACATCTTCCTGGAGCTCTGCTGCGCTGATCACCTCACCGAGGCGGTGAACCCTCGAGCGAGGTGGAAGATCTTCTTTGACTTCATGCAGATGGTGCGCAGCACAACTACTGCTCCGGTGGTCGAGGAGGACACCAAGCACGTCAAGGCGCTGGTGTTGAAAAATGAACTGACCAAAATAACCGCTGCAGGGTTAGGGGCTGTAGCACTTGCCACTTTTACCCCAATTCCTGGTTCTGATGATGAAATCCAAAAAGGGGAATTGATGAAAGGGTTGAGTGAATATATAAGGGGAAAAATAGATGGATTGGTAAAAGGGGGTAAGATAGAAGGGTTTGAAAACCAGGGTTCAAACAACCAAAACACCCAGGGTTCTCAAAACGCTGCTCCCGAAGCCATGGATGTTTTTTCAAGTGAAATGGGCGACAGCCGCTCTTGGGACAGTGGCGATTTGGTCGCAACTGCCATGGATCTTCTGAGAGATCTGCCTGGTGAATGTCATGAAGGTGAACCATGGAATGAAGAAGTGCCACAACTGCGGGCAGTGCTGGCCGAAGATGACGGTTCTTGGGAATGTCATGACGGTCGGGCTCCGCAACCAGGTGACAGTGTATGTGGTGACGATCGGGCTCCGCAACCATTTGATGAAGTATGTGGTGACGGTCGGGCTCCGCTGCCAGTGCATGGAATGGCTTATGATGGGGCTCCGATACCAGACGGTGAATGTCCTGACGGTCGGGCTCTGCACCTACATCATGGAGAACCACCTCACGGTCGGGCTGAGCAGTTGCGTGGTGAACTCTGTCCTCAAGATCGGGCTTCGCAACTACAACATGGAGAATGTGGAGACGCTCGGGCTGCATGGAGCACTATGTGGTGATCTTCCAGGCGACGGTCTTCAAGATGATGTGGAGTCCACGTCACTGCCAACAAGGGTGACGGTGGATGATCCTCAACATGGGATGTACCCTGGCTGGCCGGGCCGTGGCAAGGGGACGGGGAAACCAACTCCTCGGTCGCAGCCGCCGCCACCGCCGCCACCGCCACCGCCACCAAGGGCCGGTGGGGAAGGGATGTTCCGACCTTTTCCAGCTCAAGGACTACCTGGTGTGGCACAGGGGCAGTTCTATCGACCTGTCCGTGTGGAGCTCACTGTGGGAGGAGTGCCAATGGTGGGATACCGTCAAGGGATCCCTGGTGTGGACTACTCCATCGAGCTCACAATGCGAAAACCTGATCAACCAGATCAACGTCCTGCAGCTGAACCACCAATAGTGGGAAAAATGGGCACTACAGCGACTGGGCCGTCTTCGGCAAGTGCTGGGGCTTCAAGTGCGAGTTCAAGGGCTCCTACAACTGAAATTCCTGGGAGTTCAAGCGCAAGTTCAAGAGCTCCTGCAACAGAAAGCCAGCCAACCGCGGCCAGTGCACCAAGTGCTTCTTCAACAGAAAATCGGGCCAATGCGGCCAGTGCACCAAGTGCAAATCCAGCATACTCCAGACTGGGAGTTGTGGCTGAAAGGGTGATGCCTGACGGGAGTAGGGTTATTTACAGAAACCCCAGGGAGACCTACTATGAGAACGTTCCGCCTCCAACGTCAAGTGCATCTGCGCCCACTGATCCGCCGACTGTTGACTCACCGGGTCCTGGTGAACCAGAGCCAGAGGCTGAGGACCTCACGGTGGAGGAGACGTCGTCTGATGTTGAAGTGGTGCGTCCAACGAAGGTGATGAGAAAAGATGGAAGTCATGGTGCCGCACTACCTGCTGAACTTTGCCATCAAGATCGGGCTCAGCATCTATGTGATGGAGGGCTTCAAGATTCAAGAGAATGTCATGGCGGTCGGGCTTGGCAACCACCCGCTGGAAAAGATCATGGTGTCTGCGTATGTCTGGACACTCGGGCTTGGCATCTTCATGATGGTGAATGTCATGGCTCTGGTGTATGTCTTGATACTCGGGCTGAGCATCTTCAAGGATGTGTATGTCTTGGCGCCGGTGAATGTCCTGACGCTCGGGCTTCGCAACCATGTGATCCAGTATGTGGCGACGCTTGGGCTCCGCTGCTGTGCTGTGCGACCTGCCACCTTTGGGCTCCGCGACCATCTCTTGGGCTTGCTCCGCGACCATCTTTTGGGATGACTACCAACGGTTGGGCTTGTGATGGTGATGAATGTGGTGGAGGAGGTAGCGATGATCGGTACGATGACCGGTACGATGAAAAGTACGATGATGTGGGGCTACTTCATGGACGAGCTCTACAACATCTTTGTGGTGAAGCCTTGCTGGGCTTCAATGGTGCTGCAAGGGACACGCCTGGTCCCGGGGGAGCTGAAACGCTGGAGGAGATCTATGGCTGTGATTGGGCCGCTCTACTTCCTGGACATCAAGGACCAGCTGCTCTTCCTGGCCGTGGGCATCTGCCCTCTTGCATGCGGCCTGTCTGGCCAATTTTGAATGAGGATCAAGTCTGTGAGGTTGGGAAAAATGGTTGGCATATGACCCCCAACGCTGTCCAGGATGTTCAACTGTTTTTGGGCTTTTCTCATCCTCATGCAGATCCTTGTAGCTGTGTAGCTAGTGCGAATGGTAATGAAAAAAGGGCTGCGCCCTACAATGTGAAGCCTCAAGGAGAACTCCGACAGTTCTCAAGTCAACAGCCTGACTGGCGATCAAATCTCCAGGCATCAATCGGGTCCAGCAGGATCAAAAAATGATGAGTTTTTGCAGGGTTCAGGTGCCCAGCTGAAGATCCAAGTTCGCAGTGTGAACACTAGCCTTGAAGGGTCAAAATCTTCAGCTGGCGCTGAGAGCCGAGTAGCCGTAGCACCGGTGGAAGGCATGTCTGCCTACGGTGGTAGTTGTAGTGGTAGTTTTGTAGCTGCCATGCTCTTCGCTCTGCCGACGTTGGTGGCGGGACAGCCTGGTGATGGTGGTCGCCGTGACCAAGATGGAGACTTTGGGGCATACCTGTTCTTCCTCGTGCTGCTGGCGGGCTACACTGCGATGGTGATCTTGGGAGTGCTGGCATGCATCTGGTGCCAACAGCTCCATGGAGAAAGACGACAGGTTGGAGGAAAGGGCGCTGGAAAGGGACGTGCCTACTCCAATCGAGAAATGGAGAATGGTATGGGAACGATGTGGCCAACATCCACTACAGCGATGAGGAGGCGATGCCGACTCCAAGACTGAGGAGAAGGAGGACCACCGGGAGCTCTTCACGGGGTTCTGGTGATGGTCGAACTACGTCGCCGGCCTACTCGGAAGCGGATGGGCCGCCAATTCAAGACCCGGAGAGGGAGCCTTTCAATTTGTGGCGCTCTCCTGACGAGTTCGAGGAGGATGACATGCCTGCCATCCCCGAGGACTACGTGCCTACGCCAAGTACTCCTGACCACTGGGTGCCGATGAGCACGCGCATCCAAGAACGACGTGATCGAGCTGAAGATGCACGTGGTGGAAAGGGGAAGGGAAAAGAAAAAGGAAAAGAGAAGGGGGGAAGAGAGATCTTCCGGCCTGGCCAAGGGGCGCGACTTCGCCCGGCTACGCCCTCTCCTTCGGTCTGCCTGGCCGAGGAGAGCCAAGAAGAGACTTCAGTGGCCTCCACGCCTGGGACTGCTGATGTCACGCCTGATGAGGAGGAGGAGGAGGAGGCCGACCCGACCATTCCGTTCCCTCATGGAGCGAAAGCACCTCCGGCAGCCTGGATGCAAGGACAACGTCCACCAGGGCAGCCGCAGGATCCTTTCCCACAACAGCAGGGCCTACAGGGGCCTCAAGCGATGCAACAGGGGCCAATTGGGCCTCAGCCACAACGTGAACCTCAAGGAGCTGAAGGGGCGACACCAAAAGCCGCTCCGGCTTCAGAAGGGGTGACACCAAAAGCCGCTCCGGCTGCAGGCAGCACGGCATCACAGGCCGTTTATGCTGCTGCTGCTGCCGATGATGAACCTCGTGGGGGCGACCAGGCAGAGCCAGCTGGCGAGCCAGGTTTGCCAGATGATGGGCCACGGCGGGGTGAGTCTGACGAGGTACCCCGGCCGACCATCTACACAGCCGCTTTTGGCACGGTCTATCATGTGAGGCCGAGCTGCGGAAAGCTTCGATGTGCGTCGCGCATCTTCAGGCATGAGGCTTTCACACCTTGCCCATGCGAGCCGCTACGACGTGGTGGGATGATCTACATCCTGGACAACAGGTACCACACTGTGAACCACAGTGGCTTCCCTATGAGCAGGAGAGCCTGTACTGAGTGCGCTGGCGGTGGCCAAAGTGGCCAAGGGGGAGTGCGTTTGGCACAGCAACATGCAACTGACATGGACCCCTGCAGGATGACACGCACAATTATGTGCTCTGACCTTTTTTCATGGCTCAAGAAATAGGAGCTTTCGTCATTGGGCAGGTGTCTTGGGGACCTAAAGGGTTGTTCTAGCACTTAAGACCCATACCCGAAGCCCCCGTTCGTAACCGCAATAATAATTCAACATAACTATACAACAAATATCAAAAAAAACGCAATTTGTTCGCAGGTAACTCATCTCCAAATTGCCATGGCCATAGGGGTTCAGAGTCTCTGCCTGATCCTCGACCATCAGGTTGGACTTGCTCCGCTGCAGCTTCGAGGCCTCAACCAATTGGGGGATTCCAGGGTGAACGAAATTGGAGGGTCCTTAGATGGGAAGGGAGCTATCTTTGTGAAATCCGGGGTAGGGGTTTTTCCATGATGGATACATATCCATCATATGGATCTGTTTCAAAATTTTGGGGTGCTCCCGCCATCCGGGAGGGCTGGGGATGCTGACGCTCTTGCTGCCAGTTCCACGCCTGGTGGCGCCAGCACAGAGAGATACAAACCTCTGGTTTTTCCATGACTTGGAGATGGAGAATCCGATACGTCTTGACATTTGTTGGTTTTCCATGGTTTTCCGGCCTCTGATGGATAAAGAAAACTTAGACTTTTGGAGCTTTCAGTTGTTCTTCCTTTTCACATCAAGAAAGTCAAAAAAGTCCCTTTCAAATCACCTGTCAAAATCGAAATTCGGGGAAGTTTATCATCCATGTCAATTGGGATCTTCCCCAAATAGAATTGGAAAGTGAGGAATGATTGAAACCACTAACCATCAGTAATCATCAGTATAAGCTCCTGGATTCCCGTGGTTGCTGCTTCAAACCATTGGTCCCTTGGTGATATTTTAGTCCCCAGTGATCCCACTGTAAAGCCAATCAGCACACCTTCTGGATGACATCTCCAGTTTGTTGCAGCAACTATGGTTGGTTCCAAAGATGTCCTTCTGGGAACATCCAGTGGGATAGGAGACCTCACCTTTTTGGAGGCGCTCAGCACCATGGCCCCAGATGCTTTGGTCAAAATATTTCGAGTTCCCATTGTTAAAATGTCTAAATTTTGGATGGGTAAAACTTTGTAAAACCTTCGAAATCACCTTGTTCTTCCGTTCTTCCCCGTTTCGATGGGTGGAACATGGTAGAACCACCCATTTTCCATGGCACCTGGAAAGGCTCAGCATCTCCTCTGCGGGAGGGCCGTTGGTCAGGGCCAGCATGGAGTCCTGGCAGGTTGCGGCCAACAACTGGGGACCCCAAGGTTTCACAGGTTTTTTTAAGGATAATATATACTAATATATGATAATATAACTTGAAATGATGTTTTTCTTACTAGGTCTTTCTTGAGATTTGGGACCACCTTGAATTTGGGCGGCCTACTTGATATATGTTTGTGGACTGGATTCCTGGATTGTGGGTTACAAGCCACATTCTTGGCGCCGGTCCTCTAGCTAGTAGAAGATATCTGCAAGGAGCGGCGCAATCAAATGTTCGGTGGAGATATTGATAAACTCATCCCCAAAATTAATGAAATACCGCCCCAGAACCCCTGGTTTAGTATTGGATCATATTGGATCTATTTACATGGTGGCCCATATTGGGGGGGTACTGTATTCAATATATTTCAATATTAAAGGGATGGGATTATACAGGTTTTTCCCCAAATGGGCACCGGAAAGTCCCATGCTTCTGATCATCATCTTCCTCCATCCTCACAGAGTGGGTATACCCCGTGCTTAGACAAACTCATATCTCTAGGAGCATCTCCTTCCTAACCATGTTAATGTTGTCTCTCTGGGTTTTGGCTTGTTACCCACAGCCAAGATTTCTTACCCTCGAATGGCCAAAATGAGTTATGTCTTATTTCCATGCATTACCCATGCCTATACATGATCATCTATGTTGGTATCTGTTGGTTACAGACTAATTCTTGTTGGTTGAAGACGGCTACTATATGTTACAATCCCGCCATCGCCACTCAGCTACTCTTCACTAAAGATTGGGGGTGGATACCCTAAGGTAATTTCATTTCTATGGGCAATCACCATTTTCACCAGGAGAATCATCTATATTCATCTATAAATGGCTTCCACAGCCTACGCAACAAGTTGCCGGAGGGTACACGTTGTATTCCCATGATATCCCCATCAAATCTTCATAAACGTGACCCCACCAGCGGAAACTCCTGGATCATCTCCAACCGTCGCCGGTTGTCAGCCGCCGCACGTTTCCGAACCTGCATGGATGGCGAGGCGCTCTGCTACACCGAATGTGGTATCCGCCAACACATCTCGGTATTTAGGCAGCAGCAACAACAACGACGACGACAACAACACAACAACAACAACAACAACAACAACAACGACAACAGCAGCAGCAACAGCAACAGCAACAGCAACAACAACAACAACAGCAACAGCAATGTTAGCCATAGAAGTGTGATCAGCAGCAAACTTGGAGGATGTGAGTGAGTATGATACACTCTGCGTCGCTGCGTCTCTTCATCCCACTGGACACTCGCTTTGTGACAAGCCTTGTCCAATGTGGAAAACACGTGGAATGCAAGGAATTCATGACTGGTTTGTGCGACTTTTTGTTGGGCTAAAGCATGTCAATCCTTTCAGAGGAACCCTGATGACAGGGCGACATTTCCACTAGTACTGTTGATCATGTGAGACAAGCAGGCTCCCACCAATCCTCGTACCTGCCCCCTCCCACCCTTTCGTTTGCTGCGTTGCAGATTAATTTTATGGCAATGGCAATGTCTGATTTTCATGAACAATAAATCATCGTTCATCAAATTATCATAAATTGTATCTTGATAGATTTTCCCAATCTTGCACCTCATAAATCATCAATAACCATCATTCATACTGTTCATCCATACCCTCATATTTAGGATCATGTCGCCACGGCCATCATGTCATCGCCGCCCAAAAACGCGCACCTTTTCACTTCGGTCATTCACAAAATTCTTCAGCGCCGGAAGCTCCACAACCTCCTTCATGTCTTCCTGAGGAAGCCGGGAAAAGTCAGAGGAAAGCCATGGTCTTTTGGCCATGCCACAGATCTTTTAAAGGTCTTGCAAATTGATCAAATATGATCAAATTGTAAATGTTAACTGAAAACCAATTCTGGGAAGATGTTGTTGTTGATGAACCACACAAGACCCAAATGGAAGTGCCTGTTGTGGCATTTTGGGAATGGCTTACTAATGCTTCTCAAAACTCATGCAGAACACCCAGAAGTTGGCCCCGTGATGCTGGGAGGATCTACGGTCCACAAATGCATAGAAATATATGGAGGTTTCCTGAAATGTGGGTACCCCTAAGTCATCCATTTATAGATGGATTTTCCATTATAAACCATCCCATTTTGGGGTAGCCCCATTTATGGAAACCCCCATATCGAAATGTTAAAGTCTCTTCCATTTTCTGGAGATGAACCTTCTACATGAAGGGGATCAGCTTTTCACAGCCAAAATTTGTGGGACAGAAACAGCTCACCCGACACTGAGCTGCCACACCCTGAAGTAGTCAAGAATGTCTTTGATAAATCCATCCACCACATCATCCTGTGGAAAGATCATGAAAAATCATGAAAGATCCACATATTTGGCACCATGACACCAGGGGAACCGGTCCAATGACCATAGATTACTGGGCTGATCCCAGGTATCATGTTGTCAATGGCGCATCCGCCAAAGATTGAAACTCATATTGAAACCAGCCGTAGCAGGAGTAAACTTTGAGTTCCAAAATTTGAGTTCCTATCATGTCAACCCTGGATTTTCATAAACCCCAAACGGCTATTTAATTGGGAAGGTACCATTTAAGTATCAAAACATGACTATTAGGGGAATACCCCCCTAATAAACCATGGTTTATTAATCCCGCCTGCGTTGAGGTGGGAAACTGATGAAGGTAGTGGGCCATGATGGACAAAACCTCCTCGCTGAAGACGTGGACCGGCACCGAACTGCGCGGAGATCATTCGGAAAAGCGGGGGCATCTTGTGGAAATATGTTTAGTTCAGTGAGTTTACCCTCTGGTTCTTTAACATAGCTATGGAAAATCACTATTTTTAATGGGAAAACTCACTATAAATGGCCATGTTCAATAGCTATGTTAAATTGCCAGAGTTTAGTGGATTCTGGAGGTGTATACGGATGAGTATGAATGAGTACGAATGAGTACGATTTGTACAAATTTTGTTTCCGGCTTAAGACGGTCGGTTTCGAACACCATTCGCCAAACCAACTCGCCAGTTTTCTGAACGTGATCTTCCCACCAAAAAAACTCAAGCACAATATGAATTTGGGGGGTTCACAATGTTCACAATATGGATATATTTGGGCATTTGGGTTAAATATGTTAAATAGGACACCCATCTTTAGTCATCCAAATATTGGTCGTTTCCATTGAAGTTTCCCCAAGTCTGGGGATCACCCTTGGCCTCACCCAAAGCTTTTCCACGTGAAGTGCCTGGCGGTTTAAGCGTGTGGAAGGATGCCCCAAGGTTGGGTAGAAAACCGTGGTAGAAACACGCATCAACAGTAGGATGAAGAACTATAAAACATTATAAAACTATTCAAATCTCATGACGCAATATCTAGTTTATATTACTGTTTATCTCTGCATCTTGTGCGAGCCCATTTTTGGAGATGATCAATCCCCGTGTTGATGGGTTCACCTTTCCATTGATCACCTTCTTCCCCGAAAGATGATTCGGAAAACAGGTCATGACACTGGACAGGACCTGCCGGTCATTGGCTACATTTTATATAACTAATCATGCAAATACCCCTTTCCACAAAATAGGATGTTATTTGTTGTTTTATATAATGATCACCATTGCTGATTTGACGGATTTCAGTTTGGCCCAAGTACTCAAAAACCAATAGTTAAGCTGATCCTTGTCGCCCGTTGCGCGGCCACCGCCCGTTGCGGCCCGGCACCGCAGCGTTCAGCTTCTCTGTGACCAGAATCTCGTCATAGGTGCGCTCCCTGCGGGGCACCAGCGATGAGCTGTGGATGACAATGCTGGGAAACCCCATTCAAATGGGAAAATCATGATGGATTCTCCATTGCCATGTTTGGTTACCAACGGGTATTATGATATCATTAAGTTCTTATCATTTCTATCTGGTCATTCTCAATGCCTCTTATGATCATTGTGATGAGCACGAATGATGATTATTATTCTTATTATCTTATTACTATTATTATTCATTATTAGTATCATGTATCATGATTAGTTATTATGATTAAGATGCTAATAGCTAATATTCATGGCAATTAATTATTGATTTTAAATCCCAATATTAATCATAGTCATGACTATTAGCATCATATTAAGAATATTCATTATATAATAGTAACAATCTAATATTATAGTTATATAGAATATTCATTATATATTATATTCCTAATATTAGCTAAAATTCATTATAAATCATATTATAGCTAATAGTAGTTCTATTGATCATGTTGAATCTGGTATGATCCTCCAGTATTCTCATCTAATAGTACTATTATCTAATATTACTATAATGATACTAATGGTATAATCTAATCATGGTTTGACTATTAAAAATGGTGATTTTCCATGGCTATGTTAAATAACCAGATGCTAATGGTATAATCTAATAGTATAATCTAATAGTATTCATTAATCATCATGCTAATGGTATACCCTCTGGTAAACTAACATAGCTATGGAAAATCACCGTGTTTAATGGGAAAATTCACTGTTTCTATGGCAATTTTCAATAGCTATGTTAAATTACCAGGGGGTAATCTAATCATCATCCCAAAGGACAGGCCAGCGTGACGAGCCCGTGACCTTTCGCTCCGACTCCAAGCGCGCCTGACTGAAAAAACCACTGACAGCTGGATTCCAACCGTCTTCATGGGAAAAAAAGGAACATCCCAATTCCAATAAATATGTGTATATCTATATATTATACACACATAAATATAGATATCACTAAATGTCAACAAAAATTAGGAATATTTAAAGATTAAAAATCAAAACGCCATCAAAAACATTCAAAAGAAACGTGAAACATTCTACGACATCCTACGACCACTCAACAAAAACCCTAGCGTTGTCTATCCTGCGCCTGGCAGTTGCTGGTTCTTTTCCCCCCTAGCAGTCACTGTGAGACGCGTAGGATCTCGATGTCGCAGGGGCAACATCCCCTGTGAGCTCCGGACGTCCACCTCCGACACTGGCAGTTTCTGATGGTTTCTGCCCCCACAGATGGTAGAAACAGCAAGGAACTAGCGATTTCGGTTCCCCAACAGGAAGAAGTCGGGAGCTCAGGGTGGCCGCTCGGTCGTGCGGTTTCACGGCCCTGCATTCCATTGCGCCCGCGTGCAATGCTGCAGGAGCCAAAATCGATCCTTCTGAGTTGAGCCAACCCTCCCCATGGCCCGTGTCAGAGCTTGGACTCTCGCACCCGCAACTTACCACGGAAGTCCTCAAGCTGCGTGTAGCCCTTCCTGGCAGCGAACGTTGCCTTTTGTGGGGATCAAAGTATGACTTGATTGTAGGGGGGTCACTATGGTCACCCCAAAGTAGAAGTAATTAGAGTTTTGAGTTCAACTCATTATTGTTATATGTACATTGTTCTCATCACTTGCATGTTTCTTGATCCATAAGCAGTCAATCGACACCAGAGAAATTGATGACATTTGCTTCTTTGTTGCCTCTTAGAGAAGCTTAAAGCATGCTGAAATTCTGAAACCAATTTAGAGCCGGTGGTTTCGACACTGAAAAGCAAAACATGTGCAGTCCCTCTCAAAATCATCATCCCGTATCTCAGCGGGCCCGTTTCGAATAAACACGAATGAATTAAAGAAGTATAAATCAAATGAAATCAGATAAAATCAGATGAGATCAGATGAAACAAGAAGAAATCAGATGAGATAAACACAAAGATCACAAAGTGCTCAACAAAATAAACCCACCACATCTGTCCACAGATGGCCTGCCTCTGCATCAGCTCCCTGAGTTCCGAGGCAATGCGCTCGAAGCACTGAGGGCCCTCTACACGGTGCTGAGTGGCGACCTGCGCAGGGGGTCGGAAGTGGCAAAAGGTTTAAGAATTCTAAGGATATCTGCAGAATTCTACATTCATAGTATCCCAATATGTATATCATATAATATCATATCGATTCATATAATGTGTATATATAAAATTAATTATATACTTGTAGAATTATATAATTATATATATAATCATATATATATACGTGTGTGTATTCATCCCAATCATCGCATCATCATGAGCCGCATCACCTTCATCCCAATCATCATCCCAATCTGCGAAAACCTCCAGTTACTTTACATGGCAATGGAACATCTTCTGTTGCAAAAAAAACACCCGCACATATATCCTAGGCGGATTTTCAAGTGCCATGCCAAATTAACAAAGGCTAAGCACAACTTTGTATCAGCCAAAACTGTATGATTCAAATCGGAATTGCCTAAGCCCAACTACATTCCTAATATGTTCAGATAACCCCAATTGATTCTTCAGGCATGTTCATGGTATATCCAACAGGGTGTCTCCTAAAATTGGCGACCCGAAAATATGATGGACATACCAACAGCGGATGGTTCCTATCCTATACTGCCCAGCTTCACCGACCTGCACAGCTGTGGCCCCGCAAAGGATGTGTGCAAAGGCATCTTCCCCTGTAGCCACACCTGCCAAGCCCTCCAGATCGTGGGCCATTGACTGGTCAAAATGACGGACTGCAAACAAACACAACCCAGTAGATTTTCGAGAAAACAATAAGCCCCAATTTTCCAGCAAACCCAGTAGCAAAACTTTTTGAAACCGTTCACAAGTTCATCAGCTTTGCTGTTGATGGAAGAGTTTTTTCATGGGCAAAACTCAAAGAAAATCAAGGCAAGCACAAATGTGGTCAGCATGTTTTGATCGCTTTGCACAAATAATGGCTTCACCTACCGTCTGTTGGCTGCGGCATTATTTCATACATTTTATACTACCTCTGCCTGTGTAGGTGTCACAATTCATCCTCATATGTCATGTGTGCCATGCTCAAAAAAAGATGATGTCTGGGTTATGGTCATCCATCCCATAAATAATGGAAATCCTGAAAAAATTGTGTCTTCGCCCCTTTTTGATGGATTGATGATCATCCCCCTGTGTGGGTTAATGCAACTTTTGACCGTGGCATATGTGGGGTCAGGCCCTGCTTTCCCCTGCCCCATGCATGCCTCCGCAGCCGACCACATGAATAGAGTCATCCAGGCGAGAACGCAAATGCCTCACATTGCCTGGTGGCACAGTCCAAACATCACGCTATGTTGGAAGGGGCTGATTTATCTGATTTTATAGGCCATGCATGGCTTGAAACTCTTGAAAAATAGCATATGTCAGATTTCTCCTAAGAGAAATCTGACATATCCTCAGATTCTTCAGCGATCCAGGCCTAGTGCCAAATGCCGCACCAATTGACCTCCCAGACCACCGAAGCCTGGCCATGGCTCCAAACTGAGGTGATGGGGGATGGATGTTGCCTCGGTTTTTGAGGGCCCTGCTGATGACACTTGGACATTGGGAGGATGTCTTCCAAGATCTTTCTGGTTGCATTTATAACTGCCGATGAACTTCGGATCGGAAAACGCCAAAAATTGAAGTTGTTCTAATGAACCCACTCCACTCCGATCTGTTTCATTCATAATGTCCTTGCAGCTTCGATGGCCCTAACACTGAATCAACACACAAAATGAATTGTGGAGTGTCAAATCCTTGTGTAACAATGCAGTAGAAACACAACTTCATATCGTTTTCCTCCGCTTTCACTATCGACTTGGGACTCAGCAACAGCCGTGGCAGGACCTCCTTTGGGATGGAGCACCGTGGTCTCTGTCTCAATGTCAACCGCTAAGGCTGAGCCCAAGGTATTGCAACCTGGGGGGCCTTGCGGGCCCTGGCTGTGAACCAAGCTGGTAAAGTTCTGAAAAGATCTGAAAAGTGAACCTCATCATCTTTGGTATTCTTGCCCCGCCATAGCTGGGGAAGGGTTGGGGTTGTTTCAGATTCAAACGGGGTATACTGCCCCCATTCCAATGCCTGAGAACACAATGTTCTTCATTGTTGAATGATCAAAAATTGCGCCCCTGGACTTTGAAACGACACTGACTTGGTTGGGATTACAACTCGATTAGCACAGGCACAATGCCGTCTTCCCCTACCCTTGCGTCGACCTGGGTAAGTCTTGCTACAAAACCTCATGGTGTCCTGTTCGTCAATCCTGCCCAAAACAACGAATGAGAACCCTCCAAGAATCTTGGGTATGTATGGGTATGTGACAAAGCATCAGATACCCCCTTTTGCAAATGTTCGCAGGGATTTTATTCCCATGTCTTTGGTGCCAGTGCTCTGATGCTCGACATTCTAGTTCCAATTTGTTGTTCATGATGGCTCCAATTTATTTGGAACTAATACACTATGACCATGTCGTCCAACCACCACACAATTTTCCAAAGCACAAAATGCAGACAACTCAAATCTACTCCAGACCACAGCAGCTCAACAATATGGGGCTACACGAAAAACAGTGCAAAGTACTCGGCAAGACTACTCCTTCAAGGCGGCTTTGGTTGAAATTCAAGCCAAATATCAAGCTCTGAAGACCACTTGGCAATGTCACTCCTTCCAGACTTTCGTCAAAATGCTCGCCAAATGTCAAGCTTTGCAGAGCACTTGGCAAGGTCACTCCTTTCAGGCTTTGGTTAAACCACCGACCAAATGTCAAGCTTCGAAGACCACTTGGCAAGGCCACTCTTTTCAGACTATGGCTCAAATTCTGGACAAATGTCAAGCTCTCAAGACCACTCGGCAAGACCACTCGTTCCAGGCTCAATCTGAAGGGTGGCGGCAGCAAGGCCCCTACTTCCGTCTCATCAAAATCCTCACCAAATGTCAAGCTTTGCAAACCACTTGGCAAGACTACTCCTTCCAGGCTTCGTTTGAAATCGAAGCCAAATTTCAAGCTTTGAAGACTACTCGGAAAGGCTACTCCTTCAAGGATTTGATTGAATTTGTAGCCGAAGGTCAAGCTTTGAAGACCACCTGAAAAAGCCACTCCTTGCAGGCATTGATTGAACTTGTGGCCGAAGGTCAAGCTCTGAAGACCACTTGGAAAAGCAACTCCTTCCAGGCTTTGGTTGAAATTGTGGCCAAAGGTCAAGCTTTGAAGACCATTTGGAAAGGCCACTCCTTTCAGCCTCTGGTGGAAATACGTGCCAAGAAGACCACTTGCAAAAGCTACTCCTTGCAGCCTTTGGTTGAAATCGTAGCCGAAGGTCACGCTTTCAAGACCACTTGGCAAGACTACTCGTTGCAGGCTTTGGTTGAACTTGTAGCCGAAGGTCAAGCTTTGAAGACCGCTTGGAAAAGCCACTCCTTCTAGGCGTTGATTGAAATAGTGGCCGAAGGTCAAGCTTCGAAGACCACTTGGAAGGGCCACTCCTTCCAGCCTCTGGTCGAAATACGCACCAAATGTCAAGCTTTGCAGACCACTTGGCAAGACCACTCCTTTTAGGCTTTGGTTGAAATGTTGGCCAAATGTCAAGCTTTGAAGACCACTTGGCAAGGTCACTCCTTTCAGGCTTTGGTTAAAATTGTAACCAAAGGTCAAGTTTTTAAGGCCACTTCGTAAAGCCACTCCTTGCAGGCTTTTGTTCAATGAATCACAGCCAAACGTCAAACTTTCAAGAGCACTCGGCAAGACCACGCCTTCCAGGCTTTGTTCGAAATTCTGGCCACATGTCAAGCTTTGCAGACCACTTGGCAAGACCACTCCTTCCAAGCTCTGGTTAAAATTGTAGCCGAAGGTCAAGCTTCTAAGACCGCTTGGAAAGGCCACTCCTTCCAGGCTTTGGTTGAAACTCCGGCCAAATGTCAAGCTTTGAAGACCGCTTGGAAAAGCAACTCCTGCCAGGCTTTGGTTGAACTTCTCGCCAAATGTCAAGCTTTGCAAACCACTTGGCAAGGCCACTCCTTTCAGGCTTTGGTTGAAATTGTAGCCAAATGTCAAGCTTTGAAGACTGCTTGGAAAGGTCACTCCTTGCAAGCTCTGGTCAAATGGATCGCCAAAAGCAAGGGATTCAAGACTTCGGGGAAGTTGCAAAAGCTCTCTGGGGGAAATACCTGCTATCCTCGTCACTCCCTCCAGTGCGAGCTCTCCCTCAGGGACTGGCAATCCTTGGATGTATCGCCATGCAGAATACACATCTGTAGGAACAAAAGTGCAAGAAAGTGTTGCAGCCTCTCCCACAACGCCTTGCTCTTGCAACGTTTGACCAAGAATCAGCCTTGACTTCCCGTGCTGCATCGTGGTTTTCCTCCCTTTCCTTGAAGGGAGTTGCCGCGAAACTATCTGCTGCACTTCCCGGCCCAGAGTGGAACTACTGATGCTCAACTTACATTCTTCACCATTTAGGTATACCACGCTCAGCTCAACATCGTCAGAGACCGTGTAGCCACCAGCACGAGTGGACATAATGTGACGGCGCTTAACGGTGGTATATGCACATATAATGTTCAGCTTGAGAATAAGATCATGGCAGACACGCTGTATCCTATTAATTACAGTATTTCCCCCCGTTGCATACATCGCATACATTGCATAGATTGCATAGATTGCATACATGTGTGTGTGTGCATGCAGCAGGCACAAAAGTACAACATTTTCTCGGCGCTCCCAAACTAGTGAACCATGTAGCTGCGACCCGGCACTAGTCTGGTGGATATTTCACTGTGAAGGTCACTACGACCTGGAGATTGGTCTGCTGAAACAGAGATATGATCATCAATTCTGGTGGTTTCTCAACATGACAATCTCAATTTCACCCCCAAAAAGTTCCGTTGTTCAGTTTGCTTCAAAAATTGTTCAGCTTTATTCTCCTTACTAGCGTGGGAAATGCAAGGGCTGGAGTGATCAGTGGTATATGTCAAAGTGTGTCAAAAGCCGGATGAATTTTAGTTTCGTTGGAGGAGTCAAGGATGATACAGCAAAAAAAATGTTCTGAATAAACACAGTATTTGGGTTCTTTTCAACGGGTCTATCGCAAAACCATCCAAAACCAAATAGTTGTTCGACGTTTTTCCCCATCAAAGATGACCAGGTTGTAGTTCAGATTATTCAATGCGGTCCCCAGGGTCATAAATCATGCTAAGAAATCATGTCCCTGTATAACATGACCGTGGATGGTTTAGTTCGGAGCAGTTCAAACATCATTTAAATATTTGAAAATACAGCAGGGTGCCCCACCACTGAAATGTCCGTTC